AGATGATTCTTATAAATTCATCAGTAACTATCATAAACAGAAATGTATTTTCCTCATCAAGAACTTCAGACCACAAAACAACGAACAAGCTAAACTCCAGCTCTTACATAGTTAACATTTCCTGCAAATTCCAACTGAAGATATGACCACTAACGACTTACAACCAAGAGTCACCAATTTGCACTGAAGATACTGATTTATAATAGGTATTTCACAGCAATATGAGTTTCTTTACAGATTTTTTTTTAACAAACCCATAACTGTATACCCACACATATTTTCACAAATTTTAAAAGATATTTATGAGTGCCAAGTCATGCTAATTCATCGGTTATATCAGCACTGTTGCAACCACTTACCATACAACTGGTACACTCTGCACAAAAGAGACCCTGTTCCAGCACCCAAAGGGGTGCTGCAGGTCAAGACTAAAATGAATGGGAAGGCTGCACGGCACCTGTTTGTAGCAAGCTTATTTCAAGTCACTTGCCATTAATAAACAGTGAATTAAAGTAATTTAGCTATTTTAAACCTTTGTGTAAATAACATAAGTTAACTTTTTATTGTCCAGGATATAAGTGCTTTTTTTTTTTTTTTAAACTCTTTTAGGCTGCAATATATGCACAAAGTTCTAAGACAACCTAAATAAACTGATGCCTTACTGTGTATCCATATACATTGTGTGTCACATTATTAATGAGAATAATTAATTAGAATTCACAAGAGCCAAATAAAGGTTTAAACTCTTATGAGCCTTTTTGCTTTTTTTTTTTTGGTTTGTGTATGCCTAGTAAGTGAAATTTAATTTATGATACAGAATCATTCCCATAGCTTAAAACAGCTTCCACAGCAATGCCAAAGTCATTTGTGTTTTGTCGTACCAATTTCACACACAGGACTTGCATACTAAACTAGGACAACAAAAGCTCCTTTCACCTCTCTGAAGTGCTTTGCTTTTAAATACACACATCTGATTGCATGTTCAAACAAACTTGTAAGGTCACACTACCTAGCAAAACTGCATTCCCGCAAAGCATACATTTTAACAAAAATTGCAATACTTCTTTAAGGAAAAATGATTTTTCAGATACTTTCATATTATCTAATACTCCAGAATCCAGGTGCAACAACTTCCTCTACTCTTTTATCCCAAAACATTAACCAACAGATTTCTTACCTCATCATTGATAACCTCAGATTGTTCTTCCTCTTCCTCCTCCTCCAGATCCAAGTCATTTTGCCTAAGGTATGCTTGCAGTGGAACACAATGTTTCTTCTTAAAAGCTAAAAAGTCCATCATATTCCCTTGAAGATGTTGCAGGAAAAACAGTTCAATCAAACATTCCTTAAAAGTTTCCTTAAGCATTTCCATTTGTTTGTGGTGATGATCCAAACATTGTTTTCTCATCTGAGCAGTCTCTTGGTTGGCAGGAGGAATCTCCTCCAACTTTTTGGGTTGTTTTTTCATGGTCGTATTAACTGTAGGAGCAAGAGAAAGATTTGACAGTCCCTGTGGTACTGTGGCCCGTGAAGGACTTGTGGGAGGAGGTGGTGATGTCATTCCAAATGCACTAGGTCCTCCAACTCCTGCTATTAATCCACCAGAAGTCCTGTCATAGCCAATGGGTCTAGTCAACTGCTGACCTTGAAGCACTTGCTGCTGCTGTTGCATAAGCTGCCCTTGGATAATATTGCTGATTTGCGGTGGCAAGCTGGTAGTTGTAATATGACCTGGGCTAGTCAAAGACTGCATGTTTGCTCCACTAGCTACAGGACTTTGAGGGCCCAGATGATGAATGGTGCCACCAGACTGTGAGTGAGGTTGTGAAAGTCTGCGTTCTCTTACTGTAGCAGGAGTCCCAGAAGATGGAAGCTGCACTTGTGCTGCAGCTCCTTGAGCAATCTGTGCAATTCCTGGTCCTTCCTGACATACAAAGTGTCCACCATTCGAAGGACTCAAGCTGATTTGTCTCACAAGTACGCTAGCATCTACAAATCCTCTAGTGGGGCTCTGGCTGCACATACCCAGACCAGGGCCTGGGGCACCTGCCCGAACATTTGGTAATGTTTGCACAGGCACTGGGCTTGGCTGTGTAGGGCTTTGAGACTGAACTTGTTGAGGCAGCGGTGATGTAACTTGAATATATGATGGGGATCCATGCTCAAATCGCCTCTGCTGAGGACTAAACTGAAAACTCGGTGATGTTGGATTTGGAATTGGCAAAGGGGTAAGTGTTATCTGCTGGTTTCCTGAAGCTACTGGTCCAACGTTTTGCAGCGTGATGTTCACATTTTGCCCAGCTACTGGACTTCTGCTCATTATAAACTGCTGTATTTGGTAACTTGGGGACTGCGGTGCAGATGGGCTTGCTGAAGGCGCAAAAGAAGCTGCAGGGGACTGGGGTAAATTTGTCTGTTGCTCTTCTCCCTCACTGCCTGTGAAGGATCTGGACCTCTGGAGCTGACGCTGAGCATTCTGAGGACCATTACCATGGTGCATTATCACTGTTCTAGAGTTTTAACAGTATGTTCTAAAGAAATATACAAAAACAGAAATTCAGGGAAGATAAACATATTTCTGTAACTGAGAAAAACTACTAAAAAGAATACCTTCCAGTAAGCACTCAGTCACTGCCTTTGCAGTTACTTTAAAGTTTTGACATTATCAGTCAAGTTTTCTGAAATCCTCATCGCCACGAAAACTTACTTAAATCTCTCATCCATTTCTCTAGCTAACAAAATACTATTGAATAGTTTACAAATGATACAGTCCTCTTAAGCAGACAGATTGACTTTAAATAATTAAAAAATACTTTTTCCCTTTCTGTAGAACTCCAGAAATGAAAAGTCTCCACTATCAAATATATCTACTCCTTTCATGTTCATTATTCCCAGAGTTTCAATGTTTTAGCATTTAATACTATAGTCTCCAAAACACAGCAGTTATAAAAACGTAAAGTAGGTTTCATCGATAGCAACGAAAAATATTATGAAAAGCGGACACAGACTACTCAACTTTATTATTCTAACTATTGAAGAAAATATAAATGTGCCACGAAAGATCCCTTTTCCAAATGATCTGGAAGTCTGAAAAAATCTTGTACCTGATGTTTAATTCTGCATTCTCTTTCCTTCAGAACATTGACACTTTAAAAAGATAAAAATACATCCAAATCTAAATTTCATTCAAAATGTTTATTGAGCCAACCTTTCCAGAAATTAGAAAGCACTCTGGTTTTGAGGTTCAGTCATTTATATATTAAAAAAAAAAGTCCATCAAAAGGCACCGACCAGTAGACACAGTGCTAGGTGTCATGTAGCAGCAAAAGAAAAATGAACACTGACTTTTCTCAAAATTTCTCTCATATTTGGAAAACAATTGTTTCATTGTCAGCATTTCAGGCGAAACACAGACACGCATGGTGCCATTTGCCCTTGCTCCTAACTGCATTAACTCCCAACCCCTAGTTACAAGTGGCCATAGGCAGTATATATCACGATCGCAGCGCTAGAGGAAAGGTATGCGTGCAGTAATTGGATGTCCCGCTACTCTTCCGCTCCACACGGTGAAACACAACACAGATCTCCCATTCCCCTATGCCGGGTATCCCGGGCTACCTGCAGCAATCTGTTCAAGCCCTGGGGACGGGGAGAGTCCTTTCCAGGCCCTGAGGAAACGGTCCGCTTCCCAGGAGGGTGGAGAAGCAGCGCAGCGCTGTCACACACGTGCTGTCTAACCGGAGCGTGCAGAGGAGGAAAGGGGCTACCGGCGAGCGCAGGCTCTCACGCTCCGGGACCGAGCCCAGCTCTGCCCAGCCGGGGGTCGCGCACATCTCGGCACAGGTTTCCCCTCTCCTGGCCCTCAGGGCTCCAGCCAGGTGGGGGGGGGGGGAAGAAAATCCACTCCTCACAGGCACCTTTTCCGAAAGATTTAACGATGCTGCAATACTTAGTGGCGTTATGACTCTTTCATGACACTGATACCAAATAATTAAGATCCAAATGATATCGCCTATCGCTAGTAGCAAAGTCTTATTACTTTAATTGCCTATACCTCGCTAACATTTACGGCCCGAGTGAAAACACGTAATTATACGCTGACAACGAAGCGCCGGCAGCGTGCCGCCGGCCGCGGGAGCTCCTTTTGTGCGCGCAAACCCA